CACCACCACTGGCATAATCAGCATCATCAGCACCAACACCACCGCCACCATCATCATATCCAGATCCATCATGACCAGCATCAGCATCATAATCATCATCATCGTCATAGCCATCACGATAGACATCGACATCGTCAAAATCATCACTATCATCCGCATCATCGTCATCATCCTCATCATTAGCATTGTCATCATAATCATCATGACCATCAACATCATCATCACCATCACCACCACCACCATCAACATCATAATCATCCCACCGTGCCCTACCCTTCCTAATCCACCAACTCCTCATCCTCCTCCTGCTGCTCTTCCTCCTCCTGCATCATTGCTTTGGCTGATGGATAACTCCTCCCTGTAGCATCCCGAGGCTGCTTGAAAGGGCGGGCCGGGCGTTGCGCCTGAGATTTCTTCACAATTTCGGACCCTCAAATTTGAAAGTTGCAACGATTTTACGGATGGAGGGTGATCCTTTTTCAAAATGCGGCTCTCGCCTTAGCGCCGCGAACATTGGTTCTTCGAACTCGCAACAGCTTCACGGATGGAGGGCGGTCCCTATTCGAACTGTGGCTCTCGCCTTAGCGCCGCCACTGCCGCTCATGAAATTTGCCAGATTTTCACGAATGGAGGACGGTCCTTCTTCAAAACGTTGCTCTCGCCTTAGCGCCGCGCGCATTCGTCTCAAACGTTTGCACAAGCTTCACGGATGAAGGATGGCTCCTCTTCAAAATGTGGTTCCCGCCTTAGCGCCGCGCACATCCGTCGTAAGAGAGTGCAGCAGTTTCATAGATTCTCGTGGGTAACGTCCCAGTAATGGCGTTTTGGCGCGATGTTGGAATGTCAGGGCTCAACAGTCACGTTGATTCGCGGTGTTGAAGTCCCAGGAATGGTGTTCTGGCGCGATTCAGGATCGTCAAGAGACAACAAGCATGGTAATTTGCGGCGCTGAGACCCCAGAGTTTGCGTTCTGGCACAATTCTGGGTGCTCAATCGGTTGGTCGCCTTCCAGCGGGGACATTTCCCTGTGAGAATGAATCCGTGGAGGAGCATTTGAAGAGGCAGCTTGGAGGGAGGGTTTATTGCAACATAAGTGATAGTTCTTGGGTTTACACTGGTCCTCCTCCTGATCCTACTATGCCTATCTTCGTCGTCAGCTTCCTCCTCCTCCCCCTCCTCATCCTCCTCTTCACCCCCCCCTCCTCCTCCACCTCCATTCCTTGTCCTCATAGATGGCTCCTCCCTTTCGCACCCCGGGGTCGGTCAAAGGGCGGACCAGGCGTTTCGCCTGAGACTTCCACACCGTTTATGGCCCTGCTGCCTAAACATTGGCAACCGTTTCCCATATGGAAACTTACATGAACCCATTTGTAGGGGCTGTGAAGAGGGATCTTGGAGGGAGGGTATACTTCAACATCGTTGATGAGTCGTGGGTTCACACTGGTCCTCCTCCTCCTCCTCCTCCTCCTCCTCGTCTTCCTCCTCCCTCCCCCTCCTGCACCCTCTTCTGTATATCGTGCCTCATATCAGTTCCACATCCTGTTCCCCAACTTCCTCCTCGTCAGCCTCTTCATTTCCATTACCACAATGAGCACGATCAGCATCATCGCCATCATCATCATGAGCATGAACAACATCATACTGATAATGAAAACTACTAATAACAATCATAATAGTACTAGTAATAATGATGTTAATAACAACTATTACTATAAATCTTAACGATACTAATAATACTACTAATAATTATCCCAGTGCGACCCTACCTAGGAGTTGGAACCTCTAGGAAAGCAACATTAGTAGGAGCGGTAAAGGCCGTCCTCCTCCTTCTCCTCATCGTCGTAGTTGTAGCAGTAGCGGTAGTAGTAGTAGTAGTAGTAGTAGTAGTAGTAGTAGTAGTAGTCGTAGTAGTAGTAGTAGTAGTAGTAGTAGTAGTAGTAGTAGTAGTAGTAGTAGTAGTAGTAGTAGTAGTAGTAGTAGTAGTAGTAGTAGTAGTAGTAGTAGTAGTAGTAGTAGTAGTAGTAGTAGGAGTAGTAGTAGTAGTAGTAGTAGTAGTAGTAGTAGTAGTAGTAGTAGTAGTAGTAGTAGTAGTAGTAGTAGTAGTAGTAGTAGTGTAGTAGTAGTAGTATAGTAGTAGTAGTAGTAGTAGTAGTAGTAGTAGGAGTAGGAGTAGTAGTAGAAGTAATAGTAGAAGTAGTAGTAGTAGTAGTAGTAGTAGTAATAGTAGTAACAGTCGTAGTAGTAGTAGTAGTAGTAGTAGTAGTAGTAGTAGTAGTAGTAGTAGTAGTAGTGGTAGTGGTAGTAGTAGTAGCACCATAACCGCCGACGCCACGCCACACACACACATATATGTATATACGTGTGTGTATGTGTGTATATATACATAGCAGCAGCAATCGTGGATGCTGTACTGCGCTATGCTATGCTATGCTATGCTTTGCTATGCTATGCTGCGCAATGCTATGCTGGGCTAGGCTAGGCTGGGCTAGGCTATGCTATGCTATGCTGAGCTATGCTATGCTGCGCTATGCTATGCTATGCTATGCTGTGCTGTGCTGTGCTAGGCTATGCTTTTGCTTTGCCTTCGCTTTTGCCTTTACTTTTGCCTTTGCTTTTGCTTTTGCTTGGCACCCAGGGAGCGCAACTGGGGGAACCGCGCGTTTGCGTTTACCTTTGCTGTTGCTTTTGCTTGGCTCCCAGGGGACTGGGGGAACCACCCAGGGCGCGTTCCACTGCCCGACCCCTTTAAGCCAACATATTAAGAACCCTTCTAGGCAGAGCCTAGGTAGGGAAATTATCCCAGTGCGACCCTACCTAGGAGTTGGAGCCCCTAGGAAAGAAGCATCAGTAGTGACAGTAAAGCTAAGCTAAAGCTAAGCTACAGCTAAGCTACAGCTAAGCTACAGTTAAGCTAAAGCTAAGCTAAAGCTAAGCTAAAGCTAAGCTAAAGCTAAGCTAAAGCTCAGCTAAAGCTAAGCTAAAGCTGAGCTACAGCTGAGCTACAGCTAAGCTAAAACTAAGCTAAAGCTAAGCTAAAGCTAAAGCTAAAACTAAGCTGAGGTTAAGCTAAATCTAAGCTAAAGCTAAGCTAACGCTGAGCTAATGCTAAGCTGAAACTAAGCTAAAGCTAAACCAACGCTAAACAAAAGCTAAACTAAAGCTAGCTAAATCTAAGCTAAAGCTAAGCTAAAGCTAAGCTAAAGCTAAGATAACGCTAAGCTAAAGCTAAGCTAAAGCTAAGCGAACGCTAAGCTAAAGCTAAGCTAAAGCAGAGCTAAAGTAGAGCTAAAGCTAAGCTAAAGCTAAGTCACAGCTAAGCTAAAGTTAAGCTAACGCTAAGCTAAGGCTAAGCTAAGGCTAAGCTAAAGCTAAGCTAAAGCTGAGCAACAGCTAAGCTAAAGCTAAGCTACAGCTAAGCTAAAGCTAAGCTAAAGCTAAGCTAAAGCTAAGCTAAAGCTAAGCTAAAGCTAAAGCTAAGCTAAAGCTAAGCTAAAGCTAAGCTCAAGCTAAAGCTAAGCTAAAGCTAAGCTAAAGCTAAGCTAAACGCTAAGCGAAAAGCTAAGCGAAACGCTAAGCTAAAGCTAAGCTGCAGCTAAGCTAAAGCTAAGCTAAATATAAGCTAAATATAAGCTAAAGCTAAAGCTAAAACTAAAGCTAAAGCTAAAGCTCCCAGGGGACTGGGGGGAACCGCGGGGCGGGGACTGGGGGAACCGCCCGGGGCGATTTCCATTTCCCGCCCCTTTAAGCTAACAGAGTAAGAACCCTTAAAGGCAGAGCCTAGGTAGGGAAAAAGATAATCATCATCATCATCATCATCAGCATCATCATCATCATCATCGACATTACCATCAACATCATCAACACAATCACCATAGTGAACACCATCATCAACATCGACACCACCATCATCATCAACATCATGCCCCGTAGCATCATCAGCATGGACTTATTATCACCAACAACATCAACACCACACATACATCAATCAATTTCATAATCATAAGCACCATCATCATCATCGTCATCAACATCACGATCGTCAGCAGAATCGTCAGCATCGTTAGCATCGTCATCATCATCATCATCATCATCATCATCGTCATCATCATCGTCATAATCATAGTCCTGATTAGCATCATTGTCATCGTCATCGTCATACTCATCATCAGCATCATTATCATCAACATCACCATCATCACCACCATCACCATCACCACCATCATCACCATCATCATTATTGTCATCATCATCGTCATCATCATCATTATCATCATCATCATCATCCCCATCATCACCACCATCGGAAAGACTATCTCCATCATCATCATCACCACCATCATCAGCAGCAGCCACAGCAGCATTGTTTCTCCTACTCCTTCCTCCTCTTCCACCTTCTTTTCCTCATCTTAGGAATCCTCTTCGTCACCATATCGGCACAAGGGGTCCGGTGATAGGCAGCCGACACGCGGCGGAGCCGGTGGAAGCAGAAGGCAATGGAGCCCGACCCGCACGTTTTCAGCCGCCCGGTGCACGGTACTCGAACTCCTTCATCGTGGCCTCAAGCTTGCTGCCTTTCGCCGGGTCGCTAGTTCTCACCCTCCTGGGTCGCTACTCCCCACCCTCCTGCGCCAAGCTCTTCGCGCAAGTACTCCTCACTTCTCATCCCTGTTCCCTCCCCACCCTCTTCCCGTCGTCGCTACATTCCCCCCCATGCGTCCTGCCCTGTCCTCCCTCATTATTCTATTCTCTCCCGTCCATCCTCTTTCCTCTCTCCTCCGTCCTCTTCCTCCTCCTCCTCCTCCTCCTCCTCCTCCTCCTCCTCCTCCTCCCCCCCCTCCATCAGCACTCGCTCTCTCTCTCTCTATCTCTCTCTCTCTCTCTCTCGCTTTCACTATGTTTGTCCTTGCTTCTCCCTCTCTTTCTCTTTGCTGTTTTTTCTCTCTCTCTCTCTCTCTCTCTCTCTCTCCCAATCTCTCTCTCTCTCTCTCTCTATTTCTCCCCCCCTCTCTCTGTACTCCTTGTCCCTATCTAATTATAAGGTGAGCCCCCCCCCCCCCTTGATGGCCAATTTACATACTTCGACGCACTCCGATGAGCTCTGGCCTGCCCGAAAGTACGGTCAACATTGGCCACGAACGGCCCTGAAGGCGCCCCAGGGGCCCAATAGGGCCCCAAGACAGCCCATGAACACTGCAAGAGAGCCCCAGACCGCCCAAGACCGTTCCAAAATGGCCGCCGATGGCGTCAAGACGGCTCAAAACGCCCTCACAAAACGGCCGAAGTGGGGCCAAAATAACAGATTCCCCTTAGCTATTAAAACGGTTTGGGCAGTTGCTTCTTTTCAACACTTCGACGGCCCATGACGGCCCAAAAGGCCCCCACGAAGACGACCCACGAAGGCCCCAAGACGATCCGAGAGGCTGGCACGATGGCTCCGAAAAGGCCAGAGGAGGCCTCCAGGAGTGCCCCAGGTGCGAGGTAGCTGCCTGCGGGCGCGGGGAGCGGAGTGCGCCGATCGTGTTGAAAACAGCTACAGCAGGGCCAGGGGCCAACTAGGACAGGTGGACCACGGCCCCAGCGGCAGTCCACGTGCCGGCATTGTCAGCAGGCACCTGCCAGGGTTCCAAGGGCGGGGGACAGCGGGTGCTGAAAGAGAGCACAGGAGACCAGGAAGGCGGCTGAAGGCCGCGCGCTCAGAGAAGACGCCGCGAGGGGAGGGAGGAGGCAGAAAGCGCTACCAGGAAGTGGCTAAAAGGCCACTGGTTTGCCGAAAACATTTGGATCACCGCCATGTGCGGGATCGCTCGTCGCCTCTCCCATCGCCGCTGTAGTCGCCGCCCCGCTTGCCTCCTGTTTGCCAGTCGTCGCCGTCCCAGGAGCGCGTCCAGGACCAGCTGTCCCAGTCCCAGGATTGCTGGGAACTTGTCGCGCGGCCCTTTGGCTGGTGGCCGCCTTTGCCCTGGCGCCCCATCCATTGTGTGCGCTCCAAATCCCAGTCAACCCGCAGGTCAAGCCGTCGGTCCATCTCGCAGGCGTTGAACCCACAGCGTTTCCAGGCGCCCAGGAAGTCGCGGCAGGACGCCTCGGGGTTCAGTGCGGGGTTGCCTTTCGGCTTGCCTTTGGGCCCCACGGGGTGCTTTCGGGCGCAGGCGTGCCAGCCGCCGTTGAACGCGCCTCCCAGGAATTTCTGAAGTCGCGTTATCTCGGCTGCCCGTGTCTCGCCGACTCCATCGAGTTCGACGTCGCCCATCAACTCCTTGTACATGCGGCCCCCACCCACGGGGTCGACGATATCGTCGAAGGCCCGGCTAGCGGCCCTGCTGTGCCTCCACGGGGCTGTCGCGTCGCGCCGCGCGGGAGTTGTTGGCGCCCTGCTGCTACCAAGGGCGCCGGCTGTGGCCGCTTGCCTGCGCGGCGAGCCGCAGCTTGCCCTGCGCGGCGAGCCGCCGCTTGCCCTAGCCCCTGCGCGGCCGTGCTCGGGCCTGCTCGCGCTGGCCACGCCTCTCCCGAGGATGTTCAGGGGATCGTCGGAGGGGCTGTCGTCGGTCGCATCGCCGGCTGCGTCGAGCGAGGGTGGGAATGAGCTGCCTTCCTGGTCGGCTGCGCCCTCTGCTTCTTCGCCAGGCGGCTTCCAGGCCGCTGGTCGGGCCTCGTCGATGCCGGCCTCGCCGCCGTAGTCGACCTCGTCGCTGTCGGCCTTCTCGGTGGGCGCTGGATTCGTTGGAGAGCTGGCTGCCTCTTTACCAGGGAAGATCTCTGTCGCCTCCTGCTCTGCCGCCTGAAGGGCGCGTTCTGCCTGCCGTGTAGGTGGCTCAGTCTCCTCGGGGGCCATGCCGCTGGGTTGGGCCTTGGTGGCCGAAATTATTCTCGGGCTCCGTTGCCGCTGCCCCCTTGGTCTTCGGCGCAACCAAGGACCTCATGGCCGCCATTGGGGGTGCCGGGTGAGCTTCGTCCAGGCCCGCCGTCGGGGTGTCTTGTCCAGCAAGGGTCGTGATGGAGGCAGCTACGAGAGCTCCTGGGTCCAGGCCGGCAAGGAAGCTGGCTGGGACGGAGAGCTCGCGGCGGAAGGGGCTCGGGCCCTCGCAGGGGGCCAGGGCCATGTTGTGCGCGGCCCAGGCCTCCTTGTGCTTTGCGCTGCTCGACAGGTGCCTACCACCCTTGCTGCTGCCTATCTCTCGCCGCCCCATGGGGCGTCCTCAGGAAGGCCGCCCACCTGAATTTCTACGCAGTAGACCTTGGCCAGGAAGGAGGTCAGCTGGTGAGCGGGCCAGGAGGTTCCCTGATCATTCGGCGCTGGGATCTCAGCGCCTTCCGCTTTGACGCAGTCCATCCAGCGGCCGTCGAGTGCGGGGTGGTAGCCCCGTAGGTGGGCGACCAGGGCGTGATGGGCCTCCTTCAACTTAGCGGAGCGGCTGCGTTTGGAGTCGCTTGCCTCGTCTATGGCTAGTGCGGAGATTCGTCTGCAGCTTAGCCCCGGGGCCTCTGGTGGCAGCAAATTGGGGAATAGACTCAGGACCTCGGGAACTGTGCGGATGAGCGGGTCGGGTTGGGGCCTGCTGCTGCGGTTTCCGCCGCTGCTCGCCGCTGGGCCAACTGAGGCCTTGCTGCGGACGTAGGGGCCGGGCGCGTTTGCGTCTGCCGCCGCGGGTGCGAGCTGGGCGGCCGCGTCGGGCGTAGCGTCGCAGGCGCCTGCCTGCTCTTTGAGGCGCGGGCGGGCTGCTGGCTGCCGCGGGAAGACTTCCCTGGAATCACAGCGCCACGCGGCGTTCCATTTCCGCTCGAACCAGGAAAGTGGCCACTGATCCCACTCGGGAAGGCCTGTGCGCTCATTGCCTCCTGCCTCGGCCTGGGCCTTCCAGATGAAGCAGCCGAGAGCTGGGGCGCCGACCTTCCGTGCCGGGAGTGGGCCTTCGGGGGGGCATGTGTCGCACTTGGCGGAGTATGGGGCCCGTTTTGTAGGCCTCGCCTCCGAACCTTCCATTCCAGGATCCTTTTCGCTGGCAGCGTAGCGTTGGCGAGCCGTGGGCAGTGTTGGTCCGGCGGGACCATCAGGAGGTCGCTCAGCGCCCTGGTGCCCCCGGAGAGGGGATTGCATCCGTAGCCCATTGGCCAGTGGCTGGGGAGCGGGGGGAGAGCGCTGGCCCTGGGGTCGCCTGACCGACCGCTTTGCCAGGCCGCGTAGTCCTGAACTTTGGCGGCCATGGTCGATCCTGTTGGACTTGGGATGCCCCTGCTGTTAAGGCTGGCTACCCAGCAGGTCTCGCAAAGCCAAGTGAGGTTCTGCCCCTCCAAGCATGCGTGAGGCCTGTTGCTGGCCGGGAGGTCCCTGACGGCGTCGTCCTCCCAGGTCCCGTCATCGGTCTTCAGTTTGGTCTTGCGACAGCCGTCGCAGGTGAAGAGTGCGTTCTTCTGTTCGCTCTGCAACCTGTCGTCGCTGATGGCGAGGGGGACTAGTCTCGTGCCAGGCGCGGGGGCTGCTGGCGTGGGCGAGGCCAGGTCGGTTTTGGAGAGGGCTGCTCCCCTACCAACGTACCCCAGCGCAACGTCGACCCTGTCTTCGCCCAGGCCGGCTTCGGACCCGGCTAAGGCAGAGTGGAGCGCGCATATGGAGCACGTGTAGTCTGCCAGGGGTGCGAGATCGGCCGTGGGTACGATCTCTTCCAGGGCGATCATTGGAGCCTTGAGATTGAAGTCGACCTTCTTCATATCCTTCCAGGACTGTGGGCATCCTGCATCCTTCGCCGCATCGTGATGATGTGCGTTCGTTAGCAAGCGCGAGACCTGGGCGAGCGCGTCCTGGATTCTCCCGTGCATCTCCACGAAGCCGTCCAGCGAGAGGTTCCACGCTGCTGCAAACCTCCGCCGAAACCCCAGGTGCGCGTCCAGCCAGGGAACGCAAATACCGAGCACAGCCTCGATGACGTCGCCCGCGCCTTCGGCGTTGGGGAAAGGCCAAAGGAATGTCCTCAGCTCTCTTATCATGAGCATCATGATGACCAGGAGGACACGGGCCTTCCGGGAGACCAGGGATTGGCCGTCGGCGTCCTTGAGTCTGTCCCGTAGTTCTTGGCCGTGGAGCGCTGCGCGCAGCAGCTGCGCCCGGGTGTCCATACCAGGGTGCGCCCTGTGGCGGCAACAGTTGCGCGTCGTGACACTCCATGCTTCTGGGACCTGCCGCAGTAACCCCTTCGGCGTGCACTGGCGCCCTGGACGTGGGCGAATGCAGCGACCCTTCGCCGACGGATGCGGCGGGAGTGAATCATCCGAGAGGGCTCGGTCGCTGTCCACCCACACCAGGCATGCCCAGAACATGTTGTAGACCAGGTTGCTTGCGTCCAGGCCAATGCCCATGTCGTACAGGAAGCCGAAATGCGACCATGCCTTCGGGTCCAGTTGGCCGGGGTCCCTGGGGGTGTCGGCCAAGGAGAACTCGTGCGGGTGGAGTCCTCAGACCAAGAAGAGGACCACTGAGAACGCTGGCGTGGAGAGGAGGTTGTCCATGGCGTCGGCGATGGACCTCCCCAGGGCGTCCCAGCTTGCCTCCTTTCAACAGGCCCAGGGCCAAGGTTTGTTGGGAGCACTGCTCTTGCCCCTGCTGACCGCAGGAGGACACAGCCTGCCTGCGCTTACCGAATACCTGGAGGTAGAAACTTGTGTGGCGGCAGGAAGGCAGCTTGAACCTTTAGTGCAAGTGCGCCGGCCTACCAGTACTGCTGCAGGCAGCCTCTTTTGCCCTGCTCACTCCCGTGGATCAGAGCCAGCACTACAGGCGATCGTGAGTTCAGCATCGCACTGCCATGAAGCTCAGAACCATTTACCATGCAGCTCGCCGGTGGAAGCGGAGGTTGCAGAGAGGCCTATGGCTCATGTGGATGCCTCTAGCCCTAGCCTGTGACCTCGTGAGCCTCCCATTGCAGTGCCTACCGATTTCGGACAGGAAGATTTGCACTAGAAGTTTTTTGCTCGTGCACACTCTTGTCATTGCTGCTGCTTCACAGTTTGTGGAGGGCGCAGCAGCATCACATGCTTCAGATACCATGTTTTCCTCCCTTCGCGCTCCGCCAGGCGAGAGCGCCATCCTCACAAAGACGATCGCGATCTCCAGCGATCTCTATACACTTGTTTTTCTAACTGCCTCCATCTCCTCTTCTTGCTTGCTCTGAAAACCATCATCTTTCTATGTATATGTGCACGCGTGATATTGACATGTGCAACACTTGCGCCACTATTGTGTACTTCGGCTCTCGTGGTCCTGTACATAGCTTGTGGCTGAGGAGTGGGGAGCACGTAACCCAGCAAAGACGTTGCCAGCCGTCTGCCTCATGTACCTCGTGAAGGGTGTGCCTAAAGAAAAGAGAGCCTCCAGTACGGTGTCGGTGTCGATTGAAGTCTTCTGGGGCCTAGCACTCTTACACCAGCTAAACTCAACTGAGAGCCCAGCAGCAGCAGTAGCAGCAGATCAGTAGCAGAGCAGCAGCAGAGCAGCAGCAGCAGCAGCAGCAGCAGCAGCAGCAGCAGCAGCAGCAGCAGAGCAGCAACAGTATTGGCCAGGCGGGCCACTGGGGCAGGCTGGGCGGGAAACTGGCCGAGCGGCGAGCGGTAGCTCGGCGGCAGCTGCAGCAGCAGCCGACTACGAGGCCGAAGGGTAGCAGCAGCGAGGAGCCGCGGGGGGGCGGCGGCGTAGAGCCGCGGGGCCCAGAGACCCAGCGTCTCGAGAAGCTCAAGGCGGAAGTTCGCCGCAATCTTCGGCCTCTGGAGGGCCCTCGCCGGTCCCCCGGGACCGTCAAGAAACGACTCGGGAGGGGGGGAGAGTCGGCCCTGGGGAGGGGTTCCGGGTCTCTGGGGACCCCGTGCTGAGAAGCTCAACGCTTCGGCTTCCTGAGGGGGGGCAGCGGGCGGCCGCCGCGGGCAGCGGGCGCGGTGGCTGGGCCTCGGCCAGCCGACACGCTGCACAGACTGCCGTGGTCCCTCGTGGCGGCGGCGCGCAGCGCGAGGGGGCCGCGGGGAAGTGGCGGGCGGGCGAGTCGTATGCGGAGAACTGGAACTTCACAGGCTCACCGTTCTTGTTGTCCAAAGATTCCGAACAGATCTGAGCATCATCCCAAATCCCATGAGGAACCGGCGCTCGATGTCATGCCGTATGGCAACTGTTTTGAAAGCGGCGCGTGGAACCGAGCCCTTCTTGGAGCCCCGTTCCCTGGACAAGCCGCCCTGATCGACAAAACGAATCCGCGCATGCTAAGCCTTGACGAACACCGAAGGGGCTCGCCTAAGCAACGGAACCACCGAGCCCCTTCCGACCTCGAACTGGACCTTATTTCGACGAACTGACTGGCGACCTTACGCAGTGGCTTACGCAGGCCTCCAGCGCGGCATACTGTGGAGAACGAGGGCGCTTCCGCGCGACCTTACGCGGGGAGCTTACGCACCAATGTCCGCGCCATCGACCCCATGTTCTCCCGTCGCTCAAGTAAGGCCTCGCACGGGGGCTTTCCCCATACGGCAGGTTCGTGTCGCGGCGGCTTCGGCGCCTTTGAACGGTCGGCAGCTTCTGGGCCACCAGCGGCGTTCAACCTTGAACGCCCGCGCTGGTGTCGAAATGGCGGCAACTCTGCCGCGGGCGTTCAAGGTTGAACGCCGCACGCGGCCTGAAATCGAAGAACCTGGAGGGATCTGGCGGTCGAAATGCAGCCCATCGTTCCTAGTGCAACAATCTTGGCGCTTCGGGCTCCGCGAAGCGCGAACCCCGGTTATCTTCACGCTTTCGCGCCGGCCCTCCCAGGAACAGGGTGAGGGACTCGCGCCTCGCTCTGGAATCACCCAGACCGCGAAGCGCGACTAACTTCGCACCCTCGTGGTGGCCCTAGATCTTTCAAGGTTGAAGGACCCAAGCGCTATCAGCAACCAACCACGGGGTGGTCACGACACGAGCCCGCCGTGACACGGCCGCGGCTGGAGCCGCAAGGGACAAGGTTCGCAGCGTGGCAATACTGGCGAGGAGGGGGGAGGAACAGAGAAGATCGAGCGTCTTTTTGGCGGCGCGCACAAGGGGTAGGGGGAGGGGGGAGGGCAGGGCTTCTTAGAAAGAGTCTGCCTCTTAGATCTGCTTTACATCTACAGAGAAGGCCCGCGCCTTCTAAGAAGCAGGGGTGCTTCTAAGAAGCCTTCCCCCCTCTGCCTACCCCCTCTGCGCGTGGCCGATCTTTCCTGAGAAGCAGCGATCGAGGGGGGGGGACTGGCAAATGGGGGAAACGTCGACTTGGAATCAGCGGTCTATCGCCGATTGGTCGGCGATAGGCCCCCGATAGCAAATCCCCACGTTCCTGAGCAGGGTGGGGCTCGCGGACCCCTGTCGGCGATGACTGGGCGATTGGGGGGTCGATGCGTTCCCCCCTGAGCCAAATCCTCCCCTGACTTCGTGGCGATCCGGGCACCCCTGGAACGCTCGCGGCGAAGCGCAATTGCTGGAAAGCATCCCGAGGCTGGACAACGGCTGAGAACCGCCGACGACGACCTCGAACCTCGAACCTCGAACGTTGAACCTATCGTTGCTCCTGACTTCACCCCCCCCCTCTCCCTCGACCGGTCGCCCGATCCGTCCTCCCCCTTCGATCGGCTTCGCACGCCCTGGATCGCCTCGCAAGCGGGAGCAGAAGCAGAAGGAGCAGCAGCGGCGCGGAGGCGGATCACGACGGGGAGGGCGAGGGACAACGGGACAGGACAGCGAGGAGCAGGAGAGCGGCGGCGAGGCGGGGGGAGGAGCGAGAAGGACGACGGAGTGGCGTCGGCATAGTTGGTGCACCCCTGAGGAGTACGCGGATGCCGTACTGGCATCGCCGACGTATCGGCGATGCATCTGCGGCGTCGGGATGGAGAAGATCAGGCTCCCCGTCGCGCCGAGTCGCCGACTCTCCGACCCACTCTGCTCTGGCCCAATTGGGGAGGCCTGGCCCAACGAAGGCCATCCCTCCCCCTGCCGCTCTTCTCTTCCCCTGCCCCCCGCTCATCTTCCCCAACCTCAACAGGCAGACGACGGCAAAATGAAGGCATAAGGTCGGATTGAGGTAAGTGAGGAATCTCTGAGAACCGGCGAGGATGCATCGGGCGCCGCGGCCATATGTCAGAGAGCCCTGGAACGCTCGGGGAGCGTTCCAGAACGCTCTGGCACAAGGTACGTACCTTCATCTCCAGCCTGCCTCCACCAGGCAGACAGGGGCAACGCCCGGGATCTCGCCAGCTGCTTTGGGCCATGGGCCCAGAAGCCCACGTCAGTGAAGCTCCCAACACGGACAAGGCCATCGGAGAAGTCATTCGCGGCTTCATTTTGACTTCAGCGTGCGAATCCCCATTTGTATGGCCCGAATGTTTGCCCTCAAGTGCATCACTCTCCCTGGCCGCTCCCATCCCCACCTCTAACATGGAATCCCACCAGCCCTCTGGGTGTAGGTGGTCTAACAAGTCCCTTCGGGGACGGGTACTCTCCCCCCCTCCTGAGGTTTCTTTGGAGGAGTCGCGAGCGGTCAGAGCGCCCAAGATGGCCCAGGATGGCTCCAACAGGGCCCGTGATGCTCCAAGATGGCCCCTAAGATGACTCAAGACAACCGAAGATGATTTAATATATAGTTTCAGACATGCCTCCAAGAGCCCTCCAAGAGGACAACAAGACGGCTTCAAGTGCTGCCGGAGCCCTCGGGACTTCCCCAATAAGCCCGAATCGTTCAAAACCTAAGGGAAATCAATGATGTGTGCCTTCTCGCCTTTTCGCTTCTGACGCGGCTTTGCGGCAAAAAGGTGCCCCCAAGATGGCCGAATAGAGCTCCAAGAGGGGCCCAAGAGAACTCCACGACGGCACCAAGACAGCCGCAGAGTGCCCCAAGGGCGCCCCGAGAGGGCTCCAAAAGAGGGGGGGGGGCAGTCGGATACCCCCCTCTTTTGATCGACGCCGCCCTCCAAAGTGGCCACAACAGGGCCCTCCAAGGATCCCACGAAGCCCAAAGAGGGCTCCAGGAGAGCACCACGGCACCCTAAACGAGTCCCGAAAAGGACCCCCAAACTTTGCAAAACAGCCCAAAGAAGGCACCAGGAATGCCGCGAAAGCGCCCCGCGAGGACCCAGAGAGGGCCTCCAAAAACCCAAAACTGCTGCCAGAGTCGTGCTCCTCCTCTTCCTCCTGCTCGTCTTCCTCGCCCTCCTGTGCCTCCTCGTCATCATCCTCCTCCTCCTCCTCCTCCTCCTCCTCCTCGTCCTCGTCCTCCTCCTCTTCCTCCTTTTTCTCGTCCTCGTCCTCCTCCTCATCCTCGTCCTATGTACTCCACGTTCTCGTCCTCGTCCTGGGTCTGATCAGGCTGATCCAAACTTTGTTCCACTGCGTGCTTGTATGCTTTCCTAATCAAGACAACTCGCCTGGGCATTTTTTCTGGATGGGCTGGTGGAGATACTTTTTCGTCGCGACCGCAGGCGAGCGCGCCAGCAGCGTCAGAGGTCGGGCGGGTTACGCGCGAACCTATTTGCCTAGCGCACGGGGACCGACGGCCGAACCTAAACTGCCTAATCTGCCTAAGCTTCCTGGCTGCGCGAGGTGGTGCCCGGAAGCGGGGCAAGGCCCGAAACCTTGCCGACGGGCGATGCAAACTGCAACCAGGACCAAGATCCGGGGGCAGTGCCGATACACAAATTGAGCCAAGGAGCTGTACGCAGCCAAAATGGCGCGGCAAGGTCACAGACAGCGAAGCTGACAAGTGACCGCTGAGGGCGTGCAGGACTTGACGTAAGATAAACCACACGAGGGATCCATGCACACAGCCCCTGAGGGGAACAGCTCGCTTGCAATGCGCTCCAGGAGGTTATACTTACACCGATGGCCAGGAATACGTCACTGACCAGGAACCAGTACGAGTGGCGCCGCAGAAGTCGCACACTCACCCCTGAGAGAAAAGATCCGGGGCAATCCCCTCTCCGAGATCGAGAGGAAGAGCCAGCCAGGAAAACGATGGAAGGGATCGACACAGAAAACCTGAACGGATCGGCCACGTACCTGATGCTGCCAACCAAGAATGCGATGGATAAGGTCGACATCGAACGCCCGTGCGGAATGGCAGCACGCATATAACTGCCAAGTGAACTGCCGATAGCAGAGTTGAGCACCTCACCCAGGACAGCTTCAGACCAGGCACCTCCTGCAGCACCACGTGGCGTTCCATTTCCGCTCGAACCAGGAGGGTGGCCACTGATCCCACTCGGGAAGACCTGCGCGCTCAGTGCTTCCTGTCTCGGCCTGGGCCTTCCAGATGAAGCAGCCGAGAGCTGGGGCGTCGACCTTCCGTACCAGGAGTGGGCCTCCAGGCGGGCATGTGTCGTACTTGGCGGAGTAGGAGCCCATTTGGTGGACCTCGCCGCCGAACCTTCCGTCCAGGATCCTTTTCGCTGGCAGTGTAGTGTTGGCGATCTTCGAGAATTTCGAACCCAGCCCTTAGACAAATCCCCATAGACACCCTAACACACCTAGCAGGGGGCAGTATGCGCTGCAGGTGAGCAGGGACAACAGCTTGAGCACGATGACTGCGTGCGTGGTGCAAAGCAGCATGTGGCAATTGCGGACATTGCTGTTTTAGCCAGGCGTTCCGAGGCATCTTGACACAGGCTCAGGAGTCCGCCCAAAGGTAGTTCGCACATGAAGAACAAAACACATGCACTGCCAGCGTCGTTGTCGGAGGGGGTGACGCCACAGGTGTGGACATTGCCGGCGGCAGGTGCGCACTCTGTACATCGTCACCTTGTTCCCTCCAGGACGGAGAGAGAGGCAGGGGAGCCCAGAATCGAATCGATAAGTCGACTCGGCGATCGGAGTTAATCAGATCGGCGAAAATCGGCAGCCACGTCGGGAGGAGTCCAATCGGCGGAAATCGACAGGCTAGTCACGCCTCGCTGCGATACTGGAATCCAGACTGGAACCCGAGGTCAAATCAGAT